ATACAAAAACTAGCCAGGGGTGGTGGCACATGCCTGTGATCTCAGCTACTCAGGGCACTGAGGCAGGAGAATAGCTTGAACTCGCAAGGCAGAGGTTGTAGTGAGCCAAGATTGTGCCACTGTACTCCAGCCTGGGTGACAAAGCGAGACCTTGTCTCAAAAAAAAAAAAAAAAAAAAAAGAAACTGCCTTAAGTTTCTAAATTCATACATGCCTTTTATTTTAAAAATAAAATAAAATAAAACACACAAGAACTCCTAACTGGAAAAATTATGCTAACAGCTGCAGAAATCATTAATACATTATTTATTTGTTCGTTTAAATTTTTGTACGTGAAAAGATGGGCTAGATGATATTGTCTATTTATTTTCATTCCTCTGAATTTAAAATTTGCTAATAAGCTAGGCAGGGTGTCACATGCTTGTAGTCCCAGCTACTCAGGAGGCTGAGCTGGGAGGATCACTTAAGCCCAGGAGTTCAGCCTGGGTAACATCTCCAAAAGCCAACAAAAAACTCCCCCCAAAACAAGAGCAACAAAATAACTAAGGACTATTTTATTTACAAACATAATCTTAGAAAGTAAAAAAAAAAAAAGTAAGTTAGTTAACTCCATTTAGTTAACTTTAGGGTCCAACCCTGATACCACATTCCTCTAGGAATCTTACTTCCTCCATAACTTTGCTTGAATTACTTCTCTCCCCTCAACATTATTTCACACCTGAGGAAACTGACACGCATTCAAAAGAATGAAATAATCTCACTTCTTCTTAGAGGGTAAAGTGAAACCATAAACCAAGTATCTTTAACCACCTCTCCTTCTGCTAAGATTGTTCTTGTGCTCTTTTGGGAAAAAGTTCAAATGAAAAGAAAGAGATATAGTTCAACAAGAATCTTCCTTTCTTTTTTTTTGAGATAGGGTCTTGCTCTGTCACCCAGGCTGAAGGATCATTTGAACGCAGGAGGTGGAGGTGGAGTGATTACGGCTCTCTGCAGCCTTGACCTCCCAGGACCAAGCGATCCTCCTCCTCAGCTTCTGGAGCAGCTGGGATTACAGCCATGCGCCACCACGCCTGGATAATTTTTTATTTTTTGTAGAGATGAAATCTCACAACGTTGACCATTATGGTCTTGAACTTCTGGGCTCAGGCAACCCTCCGGCCCTGGCCTCCCAAAATGCTGGGATTACAGGCGTAAGCCACTGTACCTGGCTAAAAATAATATTTCAGAATTCATGAATTAAAAAATTACTCCCCTTTTTACAAGTAATAAAATTCTAATATTATTTAAAGTATAATGATCATTGAGGCTTTCTACTGATAAAGTTATCTACTGGATAAAAACACTCTCTACTGGATAAAATTTTCATTTCTCTGAATTTAAAATTTGCTAATAAGCTAGGCTAATAAGCTAGAATAATTTTTATTCCCTTAATTTTTGTTTGGATGCAATGTTTAATGAGAGGAAGGATAATATCTACCTATTGAAACAAATAATGAGGATCTTGAACCTCATCAGAAGGACAGATGAACAGTATGTTTTTAACTGTAGAGCACAGAAGTCAGTTTTATACAATCACTGCCTTCCTTCTCTATCTTTTCTGCACAACGCTACTTCTTTGTCTGGGATTATTTCCATCTAAATAGCCTCTGAATTGCTAACACACTGATGTAAGAGTGCCAGAACAGAAATGCTTTAGTCATCATGTCTGTTAGCCACCTGAATTGTTCTCTGTCACTGGAGATAGAGCAAATGAAGGAATATAAATCATAAAAAATATAAAGGAATGAATTCTGTTTTGCAGTATATCTAACACAGAAATAACTACAAAAGTGTGTCTGTGTGTGCTGAACACATGCATGTATATTTTAAATATTAACAGTTTAGCAAACAGATTAAAAAGTTTATCAGCCCAGGCGCAGTAGCTCACGCCTGTAATCCCAGCACTTTAGGAGGCTAAGGCGGAAGGATTGCCTGAGGTCAGGAGTCTGAGACCAGTCTGGGCAACAAAGTGAGATCTCATCTCTACAAAAAAAAAAAAAAAAAAAAAAATAACAGCCCCCCCCAAAAAGAGGGAATGTGGCTCTTTTTTTCTTAAGGTTGAGTATGAGAAGGCTTGAAGTATGGTTAAGACCATACTTCTGGTCAGGAAGGTAATATTTAAGACTGTCAAACAGGCTCAATATAAATAGTGATATTTATATTACAGGCATGAGTCATCAGGCCTAGACTAAGGATTTTTTAAATAGAAAAATAATCAAAGTCAATGGGTGGAGTGGCTCACGCCTGTAATCGAAGCACTTTGGGAGGCAGAGGAGGGAGGATCATGTAGTCAGGAGATTGAGACCATCCTGGCTAACACGGTGAAACCCCATCTCTACTAAAAATACAAAAAATTAGCCGGGTGTGCTGACATGTGCCTGCAGTCCCAACTACTCAGGAGGCTGAGGCAGAAGAATCGCTTGAACCTGGGAGGCAGAGGTTGCAGTGAGCTGAGATCGCGCCACTGCACTCCAGCCTGGCAACGAGTGAGACTCCATCTCTAAAAAAAAAAAAAAAAAAGTAAACTCAGGTTCCTTAAAAAGCTAAACACAAAATTACCATATGACCCAGGAATTCTACTCTATGTGTACACCCTAAGGAACTAAAAGCAGGGACATGAACAGATAGTTGCCAATATTCACTTCAGTAATATTCACTGTAGCTTAAGTCTACACCTACAATGGAATAGTATTCAGCCATAAAAAGGAATTAGGTTCTGATACATGCTACAATATAGATGAAACGTGAAAACATTTTAAGTGAAATAAACCAGATATGGTTCTACTCATATGAAATATTTAGAATAGCCAAATTCATAGAGACAGAAAGTAGACTAGACACCCTCAGACGATAAGCAGGTGGGGAAAGGAGAGCTGTTTAATAAGCACAGCATCTGTATGAAGCGATGAAAACGCTTTAGAAATAGATGGTAGTGACAGTTGCCCAACACTGTGGATATGCTTAATGCCACTGAATTATACACTTAAAATTGTTAAAGTGACAGTTGCCCAACACTGTGGATATTCTTAATGCCACTGAATTATACACTTAAAAATTGTTAAAGTGGCAAATTTTAAGTTATATATACATTACTACAACTTAATAATATACCAAAAACCATTGAATGTGTATACTTTAAATGGGTAATAGTCTGTGAATTATCTCAATAAAGCTGGTTAATAAAAAAGGTAACCCCAAAGCTAGGCAACCTGGATTTGCACCTGGGCTCTGACACCTGCTAGCTGAGTGACCCTGAGTAAGTTCCTGTGCCCCAACCAGTGTCTCTTTTACTCTTCTGTAACTACAGTAACTGTAAGATTGCTATCAGGATTTGCCTGAAATGCCTAACACTTGTAAAATAATATGCACAATGTAATTGTTTATTAAATGAGATCAGCCCAGAGACAGGTGCGAGAGTGAAAACAAAGGAAGTAATCCCAAATGTTTGCAACATATGGGAATTTCAAATTTCCATGAAACATGAATGAATCTTGAATATTGTGAAGGTGATGTGTGGAACGCTATCATCTATCTCAGCTCCCACCAACCTCATTTCACCTAGCTTAGTTATCTGTTCCTTGCCACGTGCAGGGTAATCCTCTTGAAGGGTTCAAGACTACTAGTTTTTATAAATAGTAATCCTAGCTTCCCAAATCTTGGGGTTAGTATGATAATAAAGAAATGTACAAAGGAGTTGTTACAAGCTTAGGTAAGCATATGGTTACGTAGGAAAACACTGGTAATGACACATAAGGAGGGTTAATTTTGAAAATGGTCTTAATAATTTTAATAGCTTTCTAAATTATTTTAGCTCAGAGTTTATGTGTTCATTAAGGGTCTAATTCTAGTTTAAGAGACTACCCAGGTTTAAAATCTTGGCTCAGCAGCATACTTAGTAGCTCTGTGCTAAATATTTAACCTGTCTGAGCTGAGTTTTTCCGTTGTAAGATGTGGATAAACATAGTTACCCACTTCAGAGAATTGTTGTCAGGATTCAATAAGTTAATACTTGGAAGATACTCAGAAAACAATGCCTAGTGTTTAGTAAATATCAGCGATTATTATAAACTAAATCTTATGAAGAAAATATGCTATAATAGTTTTAAATGTGAAGATTTTCAACAGTTCCCATTTTTATTTTCTTAGAATATCAAACTATATGATTTGTAACAATCAATGTTTCATACATTTAAGTAGCAGACTAACAATTTGGCCTATTGGAGATACACTGATCCTTTAAAATAAGTGATACACAATTTATTTTAGCTTTCTGGGACACAGTAAAGTAAAAGAGATTTCACTAGTGACTGAATACTTCACAGAAGAAACACTGTATTTGACCCTTGGATACCACTTCCTGTTCTACTGTAGTGATTTAACTGATCTAGGCAAATAAATAATGGAACTTCCAGTATTTTCCTTTAATGGTCTCTTTCTCTCTCTCTCTCTTTTTTTTTTTTTTTTTTCTTTTTTTGAGATGGAGTCTGGCTCTGTTGCCCAGGCTGGAGTCCAGTGGTAGAATCTCAGCTCCCTGTAACCTACGCCAGCCGGGTTCAGATGCTCCTCCCACCTCAGCCTCCCAAGTATCTGGGATCACGGGTGTGTGCCACCATGCCCAGTTAATTTCTGCATTTTTGGTAGAGCTGGGGTTTTGCCAGATTGCACAATCTGGTCTCAAACTCCTTGCCTCAAGCGAGCTGCCCACCTCGGCCTCCCAGAGTGCTAGAATTATAGGTGTGACCCACTGCATCTGGCCAATGGTCTCTTAATATATAGTTTCCTGGATAAAAATACATATTGTCTCTTCCAGACTTACAGCACATCATATGTTTCATACCACACATACTGTACCTGCTTTTATGTAATGAAGTTTGAATATTTGGCTGTATTTAGGTTTCCTGTAAGTTGGACATACAAATCAGTGCAAACACATTTTCTTTGACGACTATTTTAGTTACTTACCAAGTTTTCTCTCTCAATCCTTTGTTGTTCCCTCTGTCTGTTGAGAGCACTGTGATATAACTTTGGGGGATGATCAGTTGATCTAGGAATTGTACTTTTGCTTCCTGGCTTTTCCGCCTGTCTTGACAGTTCTTTCAAAAGCCTCTGATTTTCCCGATCGATCTGTCTCACCTCTTCTCTTGTGAAAGAGTAGTTTTTCCCAGGTGCTACTGAAGGTTGATCAAAGTGATGCTTTTGTGGTCCTTTTTTATCTAATTGCAGAAAAGCTACAGAAAAGAACAAAAAAAGAGAAAATTGTCAAACAAAGTAAGTATGCGGTACATGCTTTTTTTTTTCCTCCCCCTTTCTTTTGAGACGGAGTTTCCCTCTTGTTGCCCAGGCTGGAGGGCAATGGCGCAATCTCAGCTCACTGCAACCTCCGCCTCCTGGGTTCAAGCGATTCTCCTGCCTCAGCCTCCAGAGTAGCTGGGATTACAGGCATCTGCCACCACGCCTGGCTAATTTTGGTATTTTTAGTAAGGATGGGGTTTTACCATGTTGGCCAGGCTGGTCTTGAACTCCTGACCTCAGGTGATCCATCCACCTCAGCCTCCCAAAGTGCTGGGATTGCAGGCGTAAGCCACTGTGCCCGGCCCGGTGGTACATGCTTTAACCCTTAAAAATATGTATGAATACATGAAAAAGTATTTATGAAATAATACTAATGACATCTGGATTACAACTTTGTCGAAAAAAATTGGACGTAGCTTAGTATTTTATGCTCACCAGGCTCCTTTTGTAGAACAAGGCTTCTAGATTAATTTATCTATAAGCCCTTTAAAATTCAATTCTAAAGGAAATTAATAGTAAGCTATTTTTATCTAATGGTTTTTGTCTTTTTTTTTTTTTTGAGACAGGGTCTTGCTCTGTCCCTCAGCCTCCTGAGTAGCTGGGATTACAGGCATCTGCCACCACACCCGGCTGATTTTTGTATTTTTAGTAGAGATGGGAGCTTCATCATGTTGGCCAGGCTGGTCTTGAACTCCTGACCTCAGGTGATCCACCCACCTCCGCCTCCCAAAGTGCTGGGATTACAGACATGAGCCACTGCACCAGGCTGAAGGGTGGGTTTTGATCAAAGTGGGGCATGAAGCACATTTTCTAGGATGATGGCAATGTTCTCTATTTTATATTAGTTACTGCTGTTCTGCTAACACATCACCACAAAACTTAGTTGTGTGAAGCAGCAACCTGCAAAGACTCAAAGGCCAGGATCAAAGTGCCTAACCATGGCACAGGAAATGAGGTGCTCCTGGAACAAACTTAGTACCAGCTTCGGGACCTGCTTTGGGACCTGGTGGCCAGCAGAGCTGCAAGGGCCTAGAGAAGGTTGTTGATGAAGTCTCAGGAGATGAAATGGCAAAATGTTTAGCAACACTGTGCTTGTGTTAAGGGAAATGGAAAAACTAACAACTGCACTGGTAGATCTGGCCGAGCAGAGCTCCAAGCAGAACGCTGAAGGTACCAGTGGTCTACTTTACCCACAATAAGAACGGACAAAGAGAAGTGAACTAAAAAAATAATAAAAACAACTGGCCAGTTTTCAAACAAAATTTAGAAAGAATATAAAAGAGCCAAGACTTACGGGGTTTAAAAGTAAAACCATGCCTCATCCTTAGCCTTTCCCAGGAGATTCTCAGAGTACTCAAAGAGCTGTAGCTAAGAAACCACATCTGAGGAATCTCAGTTGCAGCTAGACATGATTTACATCCCGGATCTCCAGGTAGGCGCATCTGTGGAAAGGATGAATGCATTTTTGCATATGGGAAGAATGTTAATAAATCTGTGGCCAGAAGTTGGACTGAAGAGATTTTAAAATATAAAATATTTAAATTAAAGATTATTATAATTTACAGTATTTGACACTCCTCCCATTAAGAAGTAGGGGTTTATGCCCTTTTGCGTTAAATCTGGGAGGGTTTATGACCATTTCAACCAATAGAGCATGAAAGAAATGATGCTATGTGACTTCTGAGGCTAGGTCATAAAAGGCAGTGAGGTCTCTGCCTTGTTTCCTGGAACACACGTGCTTAGAATCCTGAGCCACCATGAAAGAAGTTCAACTACCCTAAGGCTGACACATGAGGAAGCCAGGCCATATGCAGAACCCCACGTGGGCCCTTGGGTTCTGGTCTTCAGGTTGTACCAAGCCCAGGCACCTGATGTGAGTACACAGCACCTGGTTGACTGTAGTCCTGGTCACTGAATCACCTCTGGGTCTCTCTATTCCCTAAGTGTTGGGGTAATCTGTCACGTAGCAGTAGTAACTGATTAGTTCATCACTTTTAAAAAATCATTGTGTGACAAAATACCTGTGGCCAAGAGCATCCCACGAGCAGATGCAAGTTTTCGTTGTTACTGGTTAAAATTGATTATCAATGCTTCCATGGTGATGTGGCTTCCCAAATGTTATTTTCCAGTTCTGTTTTGCCTTTATCACGCATTTCAAATCAATGACTTTTATCTTTTTGGTGTATTTGACCATTTACTAATGTAAAACACCCTTCTCTATCTCTTTTAGTGATTTTCACATCTTGAGTTCTATTTTGTATATTAATAGATTGACAAGTTTTACTTTCCCCTTGTTAAAGGAGATATGCCTGGCATATATTTTTCTAGCCCTTATTTTCATTCTTCCTATACTATTTTAAATATCTTTTTAGGCTGAATTTTGTTTACTTTTTTCCCAATTCTGTTGGCATATATTGAGCACTCATATTTAGCATAACAGAAACCCTATCAGACAGGGCTGGTGTTTTATTTTTTTATTGTGGCAAAATACATGGAACACAAAATTTACCACGTTAACCATTTGTAAGTATACAGGTCAGTGGTACTGAATATATTCATATTGTGTAACCATCACCATCAACCATTTCCAAAACTCCTTCCATTGTGTAAAACAAATTCTGTATCCATTAAACACTGACTCCCCATTGCTCCCTTCCCTTAGCCTCTGGAAGCCACCATTCTTTGTCTGTATAATTTAACCACTCCAAGCATCTGATATAATCACACAGCACTTGTCTTGTTGAGACTGCCTTATTTCACTCTGCATCATGTCCTCAAGGATCACCCATGTAGCATTATGTCAGAATTTCCTTCACTTTTAAGGCTAATACTTCTGGGTTTTTTTAATGTGCTCTGATAGTATCTTCTGATAAGTTAAAATCACCCAGCCACCCACTTGCATTGTTTGCACTCTTTTTCTGTCATCTTTAACCAAAGTTTTGTTACTGTTTTTTCTCATTCTTTTCTATTTTGGAAGACTGACTGAGTTTAAAAATTTTTTCTCTAAGATTTTCTCCAAAAGTTTGCAGCATTATGAACAGTCTGATCACCTATTCCAATTCCATTCCCCTAGACCTCAGGACCCCTTAACACCCTCCTAAAGACTGAGGACCCCAAAGAATGTATATGTGGGTTACATTTATCAATAGTTACCATGCTAGAAATTAAGTGTGTTAAAGCTATTAATTCCTCTAAAAATAATAAACCAATTATATGTGAACATAACATTTTTATTTTAAAAAGCCAGCGAGTGGCAGAGTTTAACGGTTTTGCAAGTCTTTAATGCCTGGCTTAAAACCTTGTCGCTGCAGACTTTTGTCTGCAGACAAAAATACTACAAAAATACAAAAATTAGCTAGGCGTGGTGGCACATGCCTGTAATCCCAGTTACTGGGGAGGCTGAGGCATGAGAATTGCTTGAACCCGGGAGGTGGAGGTTGCAGTGAGCAGAGATCACACTACTGCACTCCAGCCTGCGCAACAGAGTGAGACTCTGTCTCAAAAAAATAAAAATAAATATAAATAAATATATAAAAAGCAAATTAAGGCATAGTCATAGTCTTTTTTTTTTTTTTTTGAGACAGAGTTTTGCTCTTGTTGCCCAGGCTGGAGTGCAATGACGTGATCTCAGCTCACTGCAACCTCCGCTTCCCAGGTTCAAGCGATTCTCCTGCCTCAGCCTCCCTAGTAGCTGGGATTACAAGCATGTGCCACCACGCCCAGCTAATTTTGTATTTTTAGTAGAGACGGGGTTTCTCCATGTTGGTCAGCCTGGTCTCGAACTCCCGACCTCAGGTGATCTGCCTGCCTCATCCTCCCAAAGTGCTGGGATTACAGGGATGAGCCACCGTGCCCAGCTGCGATAGTCTTGTTAGTGAAAACAGTTTTGTCCTTGAAGATCCTAAAATCATCAAGCTTGCTCTTTTAAGACTCTGAAGTATTACACTCTTCAGCTACAAGTCTGGTGCCTCTCTGTTGGCTTTTGCTTTTCTTAAATGTTTGGCAATACTTTTTGTGTGTTGGGGGTATTGAGATTTCCTGCAGTTTGCCAGGAAGAAAGGATAAAATGTGCTGCCAGGCAGGACGTGCTGATAGCTAATCTCAGTATGGGCATCTCCCTTCTTACAGAGCATAACAGGGTCTGTATCTCCCCCTTAAACAAGGCACTTCAATCCCTCACACATTGGTATCATTTTAGCAAAAAATTTAACCAGTTTCTTTGCTCACCAACGCTCCTTTAATCCCATTTCTTATATTTATTTTTCTTCTCAAAATACATCCTGTAGTGATTATTTCATAGTCTACATAGTAGATTTTGAGGCAACGTATTTCTAAAATGTTTTAAATTTTGCTGTTTCAGATTCTTTTTAAAGAGACCTAATTTTACCTATACAAAATAGGAAACATACGTTCAAATCTAGTGTGGTCAACTTCTTCAATGCTCTCCAAATAGGTGAGATTCATGCCATAACTTGATGTCTAAACTTCTGTTTACTACTCCATTTGTTTAATGCCCTTTCTGCCTATTCAGGGATTTACACAGCTCAAGATCAAGGATCTAATTCCAACCATTTTTTGACATTTACATAGCAAAGGCAGCTTTGCACGGAGGTGGAAAATTCCCCAACTCTGCCACCCTTGAGCTAAAAGAGGTTGAATATTCAGAAATTCGACTAATCTTTCAAGATCCACTTTAAAGTCCTGTATCTAATACTGCCAGTCTGCAATGATCTTCCCTTCTTCCACTATTTCTCACAGAACCCGAAGAACTCTGAAGTTAGAATGGACCCTAGCAACATATATCAACAATCTCCTCCTACAAATAGTTTGAAGCTCAGAACAGTTGCTGGCTTGTTCGTGATCATGTCGCTAACACTCAGAAGCCTAAATTTTATTCCACTTTCAAAACTGTCTTTACCTTGGTTCAACACTGTTT